AAAGGACTTAAAGACCACACCTTTCCCTGATGTGTTTATTTCACTCCTACAATAAAATAAGGGTCATTGTACAAGCTGCTGCTTGCTCGTATTTAGCTGTTGCATGAAGGCTCACTCCATACGGTTGTGTAAGGAGCTAATTATGGATCTGTAATTTGCCATGTGGAAGGATAGACTGAGGAGGGAAGCACTGCAACAGCAGACACAGATAGTTCCCTGAGCCAAAGCCACCAAACTGTTTGGTGAGCAAACAGCAAAGCCTGTAAGATGGTATCAGTGTAGGAATGAACTCTATAGGGAAGGAAATTAAATTGTTAACTGAGTGGAAATGCCCAGAAATAGATACTCAAGCTACGAATTTTAGCTAGCTTTTCCAACTTCTTCCTTTTTCCTTGTTTTAGAAGATACACAAAAACAGACTGTATTTGTTTATATGTGTACTCTGACTGAGATGTGTATTTATTCTTACACTAGAAGAACACTTGTAAAGGTGATGAGAGCATTTGATTGGTTTCTAAACTGAAGAGGAAATGTGTTCTTAAAATTCATCTAGGTTCTAAAAGCAATTTGCAAAAAACTCTCAATTTTCCAGAGAGGGAATTAACAAGATTCCCCAAAATTAACAATGATTGAAAACAACCACCATATGAGATCAGTCAGAAGGGAATTTGTTACTACTCAACTACAACCCCAGTCAAGAATGAAAAACCAAATATCCGTGAACATGTAGGAGATGATGATCAAATCCCAAATAACTGACCTCCAAATCCTCCAAGTTTGTCCTACAGGGATACTAGCTAATGGAGCTACAGACTTTGCACTCAGTAATCCAGAGATAATCAGTTTGATTACTGATTGCTTTAGTGTCAATGAAACTAAGAAACTTGTGGCATTCTGACTCCACAACTTCCTTAATGAACTTCTTGAAATGGCAGGTGGGACTCAGGCCTGCAGCCAGCTAGACTGTTAGCATTAACAACTGGTTTCCAAGTGCAGTCACACAGGTAGTAAGTTTGTGCAGTTCTGGATCCCATGAGATCCCTGCAGAGAAGATGGACAACTCTGTACAATGCTGCAACTGTGCAGAGCCAACTGGAAGAGGTGCAATGGTTTACTTGGTCTTCCAAAGTTTAAAAAAAAAAAAAAAAAAAAAAAAAAAAAAAAAAAAAAAAGCCAAATTTGCCAGGGCAAGTAGGAAAAGGAGAGGAAGAAGAAATGTTTGGACATACATCACTATGCAACCCATAAGCATTCCACTGATTCCTGTTTCCTGGTATTGCTACACAGTGGAATGCAGTGAACTCCCCACAGTTAAGCGACAACGTTAGCTGTGCAGTCTCTGGATTACAGTATAACCATTTTTTCCCTACAAAAACCATCTTCAGCTTTAGTTACAACAAAGCATTAGACTCCTCTACATTAATGATACAAAGAAAGCATTGCTTCTAATCTGGAAGCAAGACTAATTTATGATGCTTTTCTTTTTTTTTTTTTTTTTTTTTTAAATAAAGCCTATACAGAAGTGACAAAATACTCTTGCCTAAAATCTGCAGTCCATTGTAAAAAGGGAATTACGAAAACGTATCCAGTTACAAGAGGTTTGAACAGAAGAACAGGAATACAACACAGTCATGATTCCACATAGCACATAAACCACAGTTTAGGATTACATAGAACAATTCTGATGGGTTCTACAGACAAAGAAGATGCATGGGAAGATCAACCCTACCTATACTTGAACGAAGGAGCAAACGCAAACTGTTTTCAGTGGGAACTTACTTAAACATTCTCTGACCATAATGTAATAATGTAAAATAGTGTAAAATAATTTTAAAGTTCTTGTATATTTTCCCAGGAAAACAGATTTCCACAGTCTTACTCCTGTGAAAACGTTTGATTAGAAATCATATTAAACACCGTATGTGTTTTTCATTCATATGGAAACAACTGTAATCATCATTCACTCTCTAAGTGAAACAATTTTGCGAATTAAAATACTGCATTTTAAGAGCCTTTTAAATACATAGCACAAATCATTCACAGAAGAGAGATGAAGAAGATGCAACTGAAGGTCACCAGTATACCATAAACTGCAGGCTGCAGCCTTGATAACATTTTGAAAATTGCTTAGCATGCTGAAAAATGTATGCCGCAGCTGAACACCTCCTGTCTTGCCAAAGTTAGTCCACGCACCTGAAGCAGAAAACTCCTCGATGACTGAGGATTTTTTCATTTGACACTTGTCATGCCAGATTCTTACCTACAGTAAATTAAGTTAGCCAGACAAACCATCTGAGAAATCTATGCTAATTCATTTCCTTCATAAAAAGTATGGAGCTTCATGCTTTCAAACTCCAGCCACACAGCATGAGTTCAGTCTCACTGAAGACTGTTGTGAATTAGTCCTTTGAAACTGAAAGGGACTTGTAACATCCAGAGAGCAAGGATTTTGTTTAGCAGTAGTCATCTGCAGGATTGCATTCCTCCTCATTATCCACTTACACTCCATGGATACTGAATCCCTTGGACTAGCTTTCTGTGCAGCAGAGTAAACACACACGAGAGCACATACACACAGAGACATATTTCATAAGGCAACTCACCACTGCTAGAAGCATCGTTGAGATTTAGCAGCCCACCTCCGAGCCCTCTGTAACTATGGTAACTGTAGGTCCCATTTCCATTGATGTACAACACCTCCTGTGTGCTGGAAACAGCTGATGTTGAGTAAGTGACCTGGGCTGGCTCCTGTTTATACTGTTTGTCAGCTGGTGTAGCCTCATCCTGCAAAAACAAAGAAAGGTTTTGAGTGTTTTGTGTTTATTTTTTTTTTTTCCTTCATTCTACCTTGCATAAGAAGTGTCTCTTCCATTGTTAAGACTTCCCATGTACTTGCTTTCACAAAATTTTAATTCACATTAAACAAGCACAGACATGTCTCTGAGAGGCAGAACAGCAGCTAATAAATAATCTCAGATCTATGGGAAACCTGTATTTTTATTTATTTGTGCTCCATAGCCAAACATACTGTTTCTTAAAAGGGAAGAGGCATCCTCTCATCCTGAAGAGCTCACTGTCTCCTGCAAAACCCACCTCTGTCTAAAAATAGTATGGGAAACAAGAAAGAAGCCATTACTTTCTGACTACAGGAATCACTTCTCTAAGTAGGAAAACTGTCTCCTTCTCAATAAAAGAAATCAATGAAAAATGCTCCAAGTACTTCTCTTGAAGTATCATTCTCAGAAGTGACAGAAGGAGTAGAGAAACTGAATATAGTCACATTTTCCCTATTTGCAGATGGCTCAGACAGTGACCATGCCTACAAGGATCAAAGGGCAAAGATGATTCCACAGACATGATTTGAAAGCATTTATGATCTTGCAATTGAGCAACAACTGCACATCATACATTTCCCTAACACTCTGTTTACTTCTGTTATGCTTGCATGATACAGAACAATATTTAGCACAACTGCCCCACAACTTTCCCCGTGAGGAGATTGTTTCAGAAGTCTGTTTTCCTCCATCAGATGCTGTAAGTACTGCTGAGAGCCCCATACCTCCACTCAGACTCACAGTGGCCACACCAAGTGAAAAAGAAGAAAAAAAGCATTAAGATTGACTGTTTTATTAGATGCTAAAGGAAAACCACCAGTGTCTGACAAACACATTTCAGTAAGTTCAAATAAAACAGATCTAAGGAGCTATAATATTGGGGAAAAAAAAAAAAAAAAAACAAGTTTGGTTGCTAAATATACCAAATTTTCTGAGATTGCTACAAAAAAATTACAAACTTTTAAACATTTCAGAAATATCTATGTATATATCAGCAATGGAAGAATCAAATAGTTCAAACAGCATCCAGATTCTGTCGAAGAAAAAAAAAATGGCCATGAAGCAGATTTCCTGTTTGCATTAGTCGATCTCACCGTCAGCTTTTCCAAGATGAAGAGATCCCTGTCTTTTAGTTATTTACTGGCTAAAGAGATTGGGCTATAATTGAGATGACTCACAAGATAGAACATATTAAAATTTCTGTTAATAATATATTTAATACAGAATGTTGAATCATCACATAATTAACTCCATAAACAATCAGAATGAGACCTCTTGGGCACTAATATGAGCTGAAGCTAAGCTCTGCAATCTTTTTTTTAAGAGTTGGCCAAATTGGTCTTGTACACATTTTCTTAAACAATGATAGACTCAAGTAAAAATTACATGATTTTTTTTTCTTTTTGCAAAGAATTCAACCTTAATATAATTTACCTTTTAACTCCAAAGGCAACTGATATCTGCCATAGGAGATAACATATTAATTTCTACAAGAAAATATTCATAAGTCATACAGGAAAATTATTTCTTGGCAACAAAGCATAAATCACCCAATTCCTTAGCAGTCTCAAGGTTGGGATCCTTATTTCTAAAACTAGATGATCCTTTCTGCTATAAACTCCCTCAAGCCCTCAGTTTATGCTCATGAAAATTTTCAAGGGATCTTCAGCAAATTTACCAATACCCGGGCCACTATCAAGGGTGCAGAGCGAAGGGAACTAAATCATGTAAGCTGCCAAAACAACTGTACAGACACAACTTATACAGCATATCTTTACCAATACATGTACCAATAACTCCAGAGTAATTCCTGAACAGCCAAGAAGTGCTGTCCCACAGATGAGAAGCGCATCTCCTTATCCTATCTATTTGTGTACCACAGATTTGCTGTTCCTGAATATACATGCACTCTAGAGCCCCTCTTGGTCACTGAACCCACCATGTGAAGTGAACACACAGCAGTGAGCTTTTTTCAGAGCAGATGCACTGAGCTCATGGAAGAGCACAACAGAGCCTGGCCACAGGGCTGCACAAGGCTGTATGCTGCTGCATGCTAGCCTGTGTGTTGGAGCACACGGCTAAGAGGCAACAGACCAGAACTGTGCTTTCTTGTTGCAATGCACAGTGAAGAGGTGTAAAATCTGGAATGTGAAGTCTTTGATAGCTTTGGTGGGGGGAACCTGAACTCAAAGCTTCCATCTCCTAGCAACCAGACTAAAAGCAAAGCTCTGGGAGGAGTCATAGTCTGAAGCTGTGCCACTCACTGAGTGGAAACATACAATTCATAGAACAGAAACAGCAAACAGTCAGGGAGCATGACTCAGGGATGCCTCCAGCACAGCTCCTTGTCAATACTCCTGACTCAGCATCTCCCTGTCACAGAATTCATCAGCTGCTCTGACAGTGGGATCCAAAGGGTTTGTATCAAACCATTTACAGCCACACAGGACATGTAGTGTGCCCTGTGCTGGGAACTCAGAAGGTAACCACATCCTGGCAGGGAAGACACTCCCAGGACCATGAGATAGGTTGAGCAGGATGCTGGGCATGGGACTCTTGGTTCCATGAGATACTTAAAAGGTGCCTCCTTCTAAATATTACATTTTTAAAAGCAGTACCCAAATAATGACTAAGGCACCATTTTTTTCAGTCCTCAAGTTTAGGACTAAGTGCTTAGCTCAACACCTCAAGATGCTGAAATGTAGAAACAGGGTAGAAACTTTATTCGGAAGGAAAAGTAATTTAGACCTTGAGCATATGATCTGGAAACTGATAGAATCACAGAAATACAGATACCTCTTACATACATAAGCATGCTAAAATGCACATTATCTGTTCACTTGATAGACTGGAGTTTGTGACTGTCAACTTAGTGTATATCAGAGAGATATACACTGTCTCACATTTATGCCTAGGTCTATATCAGGAGATTTTTTTTTTCCCTTCAAATTCAAAAAAGTTTCTAATTATTTTTATTTATTCCCTCATGTAAGCAATTAAATAGTCTTCTAAGGACAGCACGTAATCAGAAAAGATTTCATGAACAATTGCATAGCCTTTATACCAAGGAAGCCCTGCTCTGACTGATACTCTGAGCATCTAAGGAATAGTTTAAAGGGAAATACCTCCTACAGCAGCACAGATGTTATTACAGAATGTCACAGCTGTGCTACAAATAATCCAACTGGCAGCATCCCAGCATCCAACATCAATGCCAGAAGAGATACAGTATAGACATCTTTTTAAGGAGTCTGTCTTCTCTGGAAAGAACTCTAGGCACAAAGGTTCCTTTTTGTTTCTTATCTCCTTTACCATCATCATCATAATAAAAGAAACAGCTTATTAAAATAATAAGGCCTGGCAAATTGATTCCATTCTGAGTTTTGATCCCATATATACACATGCATATGCATCAAAAATCCTGTGCACTCCCATTAAGACAAAATATAGCTATTGTCTTGGCTGTCACCCCACTGTTATCATCAAGCACAAAAAGCAAATGGACAATGCCGACTGACCGAAAAGCTAGCAGAACTTCTGCAAAGGGAATGTAAATTGTAATATTCCAAAAATGGCAAAGATGGTGACGTTCAGTTAACTTGCTGCTTTTCATGAAAGCCACTTTCTACCAGATCAAATTAATAGCTCCACAAATACCAGCTTTTAACCGCCCCTATGTCAAGGTGATTTTTTTCCCCACTCAATTAGAAAAAAAAGAGACAAAGGAACACATTTTTGCCTCATGTTGCCTGACATTTCATTTTTGAATATATTAAACTGCTTAATGTGGATTAGTTTTTGTTCCTGTCAGTAAGTACTGCTCTCACAAGACAACTTTGAGGCTAGAAAATCCTGAATGTAGATTAATCTTCAAACAGATAGGAAAGCCAGTCCTCCATTTCTTCAGCACAGGAAAGAACATATTCACTTGAAAAAAATGAAACACTTTCACATTCTTTAAAATAATTTTTAGCCTCAATGGCTTGTAGTGGGGCTTTAGAAAAAAATTAGTGTTGCATATATTTTTCCCATCTGGGCCACACCAATTTATTTCTGTGACTTTTGATTCAAAAGTGAAATCAACAGAAATGCATGATAAAACCGTGCAGTACTTTTCAACATATACCCAATTAATCCTCATAATACTCTTGTTGGATGGGCCTTTTATCACTGTTTTCCAGATAGTGAGATTCTGGCAACCTTAAGCTAGCATTACTACATCAGTGCTTGAGTTCTACAACCATAATAATGCAATGGCCTTTGGTTTCTCTAACTATTTTATTTATTTATTTATTAAATAATGGAAAGAAGCCTGACAGGAACACTCTGCTGAATCTGCAGGGGATGGGACTGGACATCAGCAACTGCATGCAGCAGGGTTGGAAGCAGGGCAAACCATGGGATTCCTGGCCCCTATTGCCAGGTCTGTAGGCAAGTCCCCTTCTGGCAACCCAGGCATTGCTGCTGTTTCTCCCTCCACCAGGACATGAGAGCACACATCCCGCACTCTGCCTCTTCACATTTGTTCCATGCTGTGCCTTCCAAATACCGATTCATCACATCTTCCTTGCTTTTGCAGTTCCACCTTCTACCTTCCTTCTCAGTTTTCTTGCCCATAAATTTTAAATTCTCCTTTTCAAACAAGACTCTTGTTCCCTGATACCTGAGTGGTCTCAGCAACTCAAGTCTTTTCGTTTCCTATTTTGCATTTCACCACTGTTAACATTCACCAATCTGAGGTTCTCTCTCCCTCCCAGGACTTTTTTCAGCCTCAGAGCCCCAGTATCCTATCCTTTTCAACAAAAGAAAAGCTGGCTTCTACATTTAACAAAAGTCACTCCTGTTTTCACTCCCATGTTATTTTTCGTTATTCACTGTTACAATCAGAAAGGTCAACACAACGGAAGGGCGATACAGGAGTATAGTAGCAAAGCGCCTAGTGCGAATGGA